GCACCCGCACCACGCCGCGGGCGGCCTGCACTTCGACGACCGCTTCTCCGACGAGCAGCTGGTGACCATGTCGGTGCGCGAGCTGAACCGGCAGCTGCGCGGGGTCAGCAAGGAGGAGGTGATCCGGCTGAAGCAGAAGAGGCGGACCCTGAAAAACCGCGGCTATGCCCAGTCCTGCCGCTTCAAGAGGGTGCAGCAGAGACACGTCCTGGAATCCGAAAAGAACCAGCTGCTCCAGCAGGTCGACCACCTCAAGCAGGAGATCTCCAGGCTGGTGCGCGAGAGGGACGCGTACAAGGAGAAGTACGAGAAGCTGGTGAGCAGCGGCTTCCGAGAAAACGGCTCGAGCAGCGACAACCCGTCCTCTCCCGAGTTTTTCATGTGAGTCTGACACGCGATCCCAGCTAGCCACCTTGATAAGTGCTCCTGGGGGTCTGACTCGGGTGTGGGCTTGATAGTTCTGCAGCCATGCTCGCCACCACCTGGCCCCGTCCCCTGACGAGTTTGTCCCCCTCCCTCCCAGTAGCACCCCCCGCACACACACACACACCCTGCTCCGAGTTGGTGGTGGTGGTGGCTGTTTTTAAATTGGGGAGGGAATGGATGTCTGGCTCATGGATTGCCAATCTGAAATCCTCCATAACTTGCTAGCTTGTTTTTTTTTTTTTTTACACCCCCCTACCCCCACTTGCACAATATTCAAAGATCTCAGCAGAGTTCTTCATGCACACCTTTGAAGCCTGCGTCATTTACATATTTTTTTCTTTTTCTTCTTCAGTTCATGAGCTGGTGTTCCATTTTCTCTGTGCGTGTGTTTTTGTTTGGATTTTTTTTTTTTTTTTAACTTTTTGGAGCTTGCAGTGTTGCCCTTCCCCTCCCCCCCACCTCCATCTTCAGTCCCTCTCCACCCATCTCCTCTGAGATTAAAAAAAAAAAAAAAAAGCTAAGTTCTTTTTCTCCTCCTGAGTTCTTCATGTGAGATTGAGCTTGCAAAGGAAAAAAAAAATGTGAACTTATAGACTTGCAGCGTGCTGAGTTCCATCGGGTTTTTTTTTAGCATCGGTATGCTAAAATAGAGGGAAAAAAATCCTCATGAACCTGCCACAATCAAGCCTGCATCAACCTTCTGGGTGTGACTTGTGAGTTTTGGCCTTATGATGCCAAATCTGAGAGTTTAGTCTGCCATTAAAAAACTCATTCTCATCTCATGCATTATTATGCTTGCTACTTTGTCTTAGCAACAATGAACTATAACTGTTTCAAAGACTTTATGAAAAAGAGACATTATATTAATAAAAAAAAAAAAGCCTGCATGCTGGACATGTATGGTATAATTATTTTTTCTTTTTTTTCTTTTTTTTCTTTTTTGGCTTGGAAATGGACGTTCGAAGACTTATGGCATGGCATTCATACTTTTGTTTTATTGCCTCATGACTTTTTTGAGTTTAGAACGAAAAAGTACAACCCTAGAGCCTTCTTCCCATGAAAGTTTGCATCTGCTCCAAAACTGCTTTGAGTTACTCAGAACTCCAGCCTCCCATTGTAAATGCACTGAAGGCATTCCTTGTCAAAGATGCCAGAATGGGTTAAAAATTTAACATGGCAAACATTAAAAACTCTTAATGTTTTCTTTTAAATAAGAATGACACCCCACTTTGGGGACTCAAATTGTGCTGTTGCTGAAAGCAGTCTAAATTTTGTTTTTTAAACAAAGAAATCTGCCCCGTTATTTTTGGTTTTGTTTTACTTTTATTTTATTATTATTATTTTCTTTTTTGGCTTTCGGTCATTGTCAAATGTGGAATGCTATGGGTTTCTAGTATATAATTTAATTCTAGTTTTTATAATCTGTTAGCCCAGTTAAAATGTATGCTACAGATAAAGGAATGTTATAGATAAATTTGAAAGAGTTAGGTCTGTTTAGCTGTAGATTTTTTAAAAGATTGATGCACTAAATTGTTTACTGTTGTGATGTTAAGGGGGGTAGAGTTTGCAAGGGGACTGTTTAAAAAGTAGCTTATACAGCATGTGCTTGCAACTTAAATATAAGTTGGGTATGTGTAGTCTTTGCTATACCACTGACTGTATTGAAAACCAAAGTATTAAAAGGGGAAACACCCCTGTTTATATCTGTAGGGGTATTTTACATTCAAAATGTATGTTTTTTTTTCAAAATTAAAGTATTTGGGACTGAATTGCACTAAGATATAACCTGCAAGCATATAATACAAAAAAAATTTGCAAAACTGTTTAGAACGCTAATAAAATTTATGCAGTTATAAAAATGGCATTACTGCACAGTTTTAAGATGATGCAGATTTTTTTACAGTTGTATTGTGGTGCAGAACTGGATTTTCTGTAACTTAAAAAAAAAAAAAATCCACAGTTTTAAAGGCAATAATCAGTAAATGTTATTTTCAGGGACTGACATCCTGTCTTTAAAAAAAAATGAAAAGTAAATCTTACCACAATAAATATAAAAAAATCTTGTCAGTTACTTTTCTTTTACATATTTTGCTGTGCAAAATTGTTTTATATCTTGAGTTACTAACTAACCACGCGTGATGTTCCTATGTGCTTTTCTTTCATTTTCAATTCTGGTTATATCAAGAGAAAGAATAATCTACAATAATAAACTGCATTTTTTTTTTTTGATTCTGTACTCAGTTTCTTAGTGTACAGTTTAACTGGGCCCAACACCATGTTAGAAGTGTAAAATGCATCCTTTTCTCCAGAGGAAGGATTAATGGAGGAGTAGGAAGGCAATAATTCAGGGTGAAACATAGATCGTTTTGTGAGGCGGGAAGCTAGTCCCTTTTAATAATTAGCAATATTTAATATAAATATAAATTATGACCTCTCCGATTGTGCCTTCCCCCCACCCCTTAAAGTTTTCAGTTTTCGAATAAGTTGAGCTATCATTGCCCTCTGGTGAAAACAAACAAAATCCCCAGCCATAGCCAGGGCCTTCCCGGCATTGCCCTGAGGTTTTATCCAGCAACGGGCCCATCCAGAGGGAAATATGGCATGGCAGAGGTGGCTTAGGCTCATATGCATTTAATGCCAAAGATCAACAATTCTTGCTTTTTGGCTAAAATCGATTATTTTTCCTTCTCTTATATACCTTGATTTTCTTGTTAGCAAGGCCTGATAAGATTTAACATTAACACTTTGGACAAATCAAAGTTGTTTGTTTTATACCTCTTAGAAGGTCATTTGCCTTTAGTAGGAAAAAGAAAAATACACCTCTCACGTACAGAACTCCAAGTACAGATCTGGGTTTAAACTATATTATTAAATCGTATTTCCCTGTGAATATTTAGCAGAGGGCTTCTCCACTGTGACAAGCTGGTAATGATTTCAGATCACCTTTGCTCCTGAAATACATGCCAAAAAATAACGCCTTGGCGGAATAAAGGCTACGCTTTGATTTATTGGTATCTACCCCCAAAACAGACTGTGTATCATTTGGAAAGTCGTGAGCTACCTTCACTAACAGTACTGACCTATTTTAAAATGACACAAATTCGTGCAACTCTTAAGTCAACTTCCCCTAGAACGCTAATAGAATGTGAGACAAAGCCAACACTGTTTTGAAAATAGAGCCAAACACGATGACTTTTGTTTTATTTTGTTTTCTTTTTTTCTTTTTTTTCTTTTTCTTTCTTTCTTTCTTTCTTTCTTTTTTCTTTTTTTTTTTTTTTAAGATAATATTGCAACTCTGAACGAAGACCTTATTTTGAAGAAAACAGGTTGTGCTTGGCGCTGATGAGTTCTGGCCAGTTTATCATCTTGTCTTCCTTCCCTTTTTCACAGGCAGTGCATACCCTGTACATTTTGACCTTTCTTTCTGTACCAGTTTAGATAGGGCTCCTGAGTCCACACTTAATTTTGCTTAACAAAAGTCTTAATAGTAAACCTACTTCTACGTACTGGATGTTAGCTATCCTCTGCGTCTGAGATTTTTTTCCCGCCTCTGATCTCTACTAGGAGATAGGCAGTCTACCCCTAAAGAAGCAGAAATGGAGATATCACATATGCAAAAAGCTTAGCATCAGATGACAGATTTTAGGCAAACACATTCTCTAAATAAGAGTGATATTCAGAATGAAGTTATGACAATTATCTCATGAGGAATGTGACTTGGGAGAAAAATACGGTTGTGTACCAATTAAGCATCTTGATAGGACCCTACAAGGCAGTTCAATATAATAAATAGGCTTTGGCCCCAAACATTGGAAAGTAAAGTATAGAGAGGTATGGACAAAAATGGAATTTTGGTGGCTGGCTTTTAGAAAAAGCTAATGCCTAGTAAAAGGCATTTTTAGAAATAACCATTACTAAAACTTTGAAATAGAGCGTGAGTGGTGAATACAAATACATCAATACATACTTTTTTAACGAAGAAGTCCCAAATACTGCCTAAGTGCCCTTATTACAAATAAGTTTCTAAATTAAAAAAAAAAAAAACATATAGGAAATCTAGCTTTCCCTTTACACTGCATTTGAGTCTTTGTTTAAATAGTGTTAAAATTCCTTTCATTCCAATTACAGAACTGAGCCCACTAGCAAGTTGGAGCCATCAGTGGGATACGCCACGTTTTGGAAGCCCCAGCAACGTGTACTTACCAGTGTATTCACAAAATGAAATTTATGTGAGAACTGTACATTAAAAATACACTAGTAGTAGTAGTATCTGCTGTCGTAGAATACAACCTGCCCCTGACTTCTGTTTAGTCTCCTTTTTAAAGAAAAATGTTTGTGTTAGAGAAGAAAGCTATTAAATATATAACCTCCATACTAATTAACGATGCCTCTTGTCTGAGGGTCGTCTCTACAGACGCGTTGGAAAGTGCGCTGGTGCTTCTCGCTTTATGATGCGCGGAACTGAATAAATGCAACTGTTTTCAACCTGCAGTATTAGTTTTAAAAATCCACTGAAATACAAAAGAAAGAGAGAGGAGAGAGAGAGAAAGGAGAGAGAGAGACAGAGACAGAGAGAGACAGAGACAGAGGTACAGATACATTTATATGAAGGGAAGTTTCCCAGAAGGTACCAGCTAGCATTTTTAAAGCATACGTAGACATACACACTCTAAATAGTACTTTTTCGTGCTTCATTGTTTCTCCGGTAGATAATTTTACTAAGAAGAAAAAAATATATATTTGATTTCTCCCTCCTCGAGCAGATGCCATGGGCAGAAGCTTTAGCGGAGCCCAGCACCCTGGCTTCCTCTCAGGGCCTAGACAGTATTGTATTTATCGGTGATGTCAAACATGTTCATTTATCAGACACAACCAAAAACGAAAACAATGTGTGGCAAAACACAAAGTTAGCGAAATACACACCCTCTGTGTGTGTTTTTTTTCCTCCCCCTTTTCTGTACCCAAGCATTCACAAAATTACTTTAATTTCCCTGCTCCTTGCATGTTTCCTTTTTCAAAACCATGTAATAATTTTTTTTACAATGTATCTGACACATTAATAGATTGACATCAAATAGGCAGAGATTCCACTTCCTGATCTTGGTGAGGAAATGATGTCTCAATATCATATTTATCTGTCTCAATGCCATAACCACCTGGGCCCCTTTCAACACAGGCCGCTGCAATGGGAAATACTCTATTACCGAGCAGATGATTCTAATGCCCCGATCTTTTCACCCTTATACCTTTACCTTGGTAATTTTTATTTAGTAACGTCAATTCTAGATCCTTCTGTTCTTAAACAGGACCGCCCCTTGCCAAACCACCAGCTTTACTGCTAAACGCAGTGAACAGAAGGGCAAATGGTAGCTACTCTCAGGAACATGAGGCACAGCTGTCTCAGTTGCTACATTCCTAGCATTTCCCCATCCAAATAACTGACACACGCAGAGGTTCCCAAGTACAGTATCTGGGAGGCTTTTGTTGTTGTTGTTGTTGTTTAAGGCCAACTTCCTTCCATATTCACACACTCTTGGCTTTATATAAGGTACTCCTCCGGTGTTCCGGGCCAATCAATAAATTTAAAAGTCTGCTTGCCACACAGGTATCTCTATTTTTTGCGTGTCGGTAGTTAAAGACTAGCTGACATAGGTCGGAAGACTAAAATACATGAGTGACAACCTTCAGCCGACTGATTTCCGTGCCAGTAAAACACACAGCCAAGCTCTGGGGCCTGCCTTCTCGTATAAACATGTGATAAGAGCGGATAGGAAGCCAGATTCACCAGCTTGAGATTGCTGATTTGCAAGGCGATTTTTCTTTCATTTTATTTATTTTTTTAAATAATAATTTCGCCTCTTTCTTCGAAGAAAAGTCCCCCCCCTTTTTTAGGGAAGCTTTATCTACAGTGATAAGTTATAATTTTTACCACTTCTGATTATTCCTCAGAATGCTGAATGAATAATTTGGAGTCAGTGCCTTGTGGTTTTGAGGAAAATAAAAAAAACTTTGAAGTTTGTTTCCACTTTTGGCCTATCCTAAATTTAAAAGTTCCCAAGTCCAAGGCAGGGCGTACAACAGCCATCGGGGTAGTAGTCCGTCAGAACCAGCATTTGTTTGTTTATTTTTGCATTTGTTAAAAACAGAGCAGGGGCCTTAACCCACCTTCTGATAACACCGCTTTGGACACTTTTGATATAAATCTTCAAAATCTTGACATCCAGCAGCCCCAGAAAAAGGGGAATTCTCTCCAAGCCTTGCTCCGCCTCAGCTCCTGAACAAACCCAGCTCTGTGTAGCATTTTTTTCTCTAGCGGGGGTAGGGGACAGGGTGAGAGCATCGGTCTCCCAAGCTGTCTCATGATTGTCAGGGCATAAAGAAGTACAGTCCGGCAACAATGTTGGAACATCTTTACCCTTGAGAGAGGGACAAAACAAAAAACAAAGCCAGTCAAATTGCTGTGCATGAAGGCGGCATAAAACCCCAGGCTTCCCCACCCGCTTCCCTGCAGCATCTGTAGGAGGTGAGAAATGAAGGAAGCCAAAGAAAATGGCGAGGAGGACGTCTAAGGCAAGAGTCCTCCCCGGGACGACCCTAGCTGCCAGTCTGAATTTCACTTGCTCCCTGGCTAAAGTCAGACCCAGTGTACACATACGCCAGGAGCAAACAAGATTCCACTGTCCGCGTCTTTCGAGTATGCTCACATGTGTTTCCTTTTTGAAAACAATTTTGGAGACCAAACCCAAATTGAGAGATCTGGGGAGATCGTGAATGCCTTAACTTTGGGGAATTTATAAATATATTAATCTGCGATGTCAGGGTAATGATATTTTGGACCAACAGACATGCCAATATCTATGTGGTCACCGCAAGAGGTTTGATGGCATCATGACAGTTTTTATTGTTTAAATTTGAAAGCCCCTCGTCTGTGTGTTTTCCATAAGTTCGCCTAATATAACAAGGTTGAGATAAAAAAGAACGCGTCGACTACCCACGGAAATCAGATCTTTATGTGAATTTGCATGAGAGTTGGACAGTTTTAAGAAACTCACAGGACACATTTTCCACCGAGAAGCTAAGATTGGCGTGCACAGTTCCTTACCCAAATCATCATCATCTCCTGAGCACCTCTTCCCTTCTTCAACAAAATTCATTTTTTTTTCCTTTCTTTTTGTTAAATCGCATTTTTTTTTTCTATAATTAGGTTTTGGATTGCAAAATCACATCCCTCCCTTCACAGATTCTTGGATCTTTAGTTAGGATTAGAAAGGGGCCTTAATTCAAGAAGGGAGGATGAGGGAGGAGTGCCTGTGGAGGTTTGGGAAGGAGGGGAGAGGAGAGGAAATAGTTCTGTGTTCAGCCCCCATACCCTGGCCCCTCCCCACCCAGGCCTGGGTGTGAGCTGCACACTGGGGATTTGGGTAGAGTTTCTCTATTCTAAATATTCTGATCACCAACTTTGAGTGTTTCCAAGCTAAGATTCCAAACGTCAGCTTTTCCCCGTGGTTGGTTCTTTTGGTTAGGAAATAGGAGAGGTCAAGAAACCTTACAGAGCTGGGCAGGGAGGAGTAAACACCACTATCATGGGAGAATCCCCAACAAGGATGCTAATGAAGGGAATCCTGGGCCGAAAAATCGGGTCAGTGGTGCAGATTCCCATTTCGTGACCCAAATTTGCCCTGGTTCTACGCGGGCTCTTCTACTTCTGGAGACCTGTAGATGTGCATTTCTGGCCTCCTTTGAGGGTTCTCCAGAAGGAAAGCCGGCCTGAGGATCCTGGACGATAGGCAGTCCTAAACTAGGCCCAGAGGAGCAGACAGCAGGAGGAGGCTGGTGCGCAGGGGCTGGGAGAGTATTACCAACAGGCCCACCTCGGTTTATGACCCTCCAACTGCCAGGGGTCAACTGTAAGTCGTTCCCAGGGCCCCCACCTCCCTCCAGAAAGAATCTGTTTGCAGGGTAACTGACAAGTCCCTGACAGACCCTACGATCCCATGATTACTAAAAACAATAGTGATGTCTTTAACCCCCAGGCTTCCGTCCCTTACCACCTGACCCCTGCCCATCTCAGGGTCCTCTCTACAATTTTTGGCACCTCTTCCTCCTATGCCTGGTCACCCAGGACCATCAGAGAGACTTAGGGGGTCACTGCCCTTAGGTCAGAAGGCAGTTACCTAAGCTGAGTCCTTAGACCCATTGAGTCACTTCTGCCCCAGTTTCAGCGTAGACAAAAGTTGGATGGGGAGAAGGGTCTGGGAGCTGCTGCGCTGGCAGAGGGTTAGGAATGGTTCATGCTTGCTGGAGCTTCTGGTGCCAAGGGTCTTGAAACCTGGAAAGAAAGAGATGAAGGTAGGGAGGATGCTGAGGTCGCCCCCTCTCCCAGTTTCCATATACCTGCTCACACACACACACACACACACACACACATACACACACACACACACACGCACGCACACCACTCCACCCCGACCCTATATACTCTTGCTCTGTGGGGCCCGTTCACCCTAGGCATCCCTGCCCCAGGCCAGGGGGCTGGGGCTCCCCACCCTGGGGGTCCCCGAGTGGGAGCACAGCAGGTGCGGAAGGAGGCAACGCGGTGACCGCGGGGGCGGGTCCAGCAGCCGGCTGAGGCCAAGGGGATGTCCCTGCGTGGCCGGCCCCAAGACCGCGGCTGCGCGGGTGGAGGCCAGAGCGCTAAACGCAAGCAGTGCAGGTCCCCGCGGAGATGCGCAAACGCCGCCCAGTTCCCAGGGGCGCCGACAGCGGTCATACCCAGAGCGCCCAGGGCCCCGCGCCCGCCCGGCGCCCGCGCCCCAGCAGGGAACTGGGATTTGTATTGGAATTTGGTTTAAATTTTCCAAGAGGACCGCCCTGGCCAAAGCCGAGAGCCCAGAGACTTCAAAACCAGCTGCTCTGCTGCGCTCCCAGGTGGGCGCATATTGAGGGAGGGAGCGAGATTCAGCCCTAAAAAGGCTCCGCCCTTCACCTTGGGACCCCTGCCCTACTTGCGAGCCGCCCTAGGAACCTTCTGCGAATAAGACGTGGGCTCCAGATCACTAGGTTTTTACCTTATTAATTTTCCGGCCCATTTTCCAGGTCTATCTTTTTTCCTGCTCTGGCTAGAGACAGGGTAAGGAGGGTGGGGAAAAGGAAAGAAGGAAATCCAGATACCGGGTTTAAAAATCTTTATAGAAATCTCCACGCGGTTGGGGTTTTCTGTGGTAGTTTGATGCTCATTAGACAGGAAAGCCAGCCAAGCAAACTTTATTAGGATTTCACCCACAGCTCCAGCGTAAGGGTCTTGCTTGCATTCCGGAATTCAACACAGTTGCCGTCAGATCTCAGGCACTCAGGAACCGTCGGTCTTAATAGGACAAGCTGCAAAACGACCGATTTCAGAAAGGAGTCCTTCCACGGAGGGGCGTTTTCTTATAGGGACCCTCAGGTTTTTAGATCGTTGAGCATGGAGGAGAGTTAGGCAAATATCATCGTGCCTTCTTAAATATCCTTTTTTCTTTTTCCTTCTCTTAGGGAACGCTTCATTAATGTGCAGATAAATATGTTGAAACTAAAACTTAATGATCTTAGCATCCGAGACACCTCGATACTGACAGATTACACTAAATTCCTTTTTAATAGAATGGGGGAGCAAAGAGGGGGATACCTGTGGTCGGCATTCTAAGATTAAATCTGTTAAAAGGTGACAGTTGACTCTGTATTTAGGCAATGAAGCCAATATATTTTTTCATCTGTCATCTATCTATGTATCATCTATCTACCTATCTATCATCTATCATTTATCTATCGAACCCTTTAAAATAACTTTGTAGAGGGGGAAGCTATTCAAAGATAAATCTGCAGTTCCCACATTATGAAGTAAAAATGATCACACGACAGAGTTTCTCTGTCTACTCTACATTCTAGCAGAACCTAGCCTGAAATTTCGATCTTAGCATGATTGTCCCATAAAACCCTCACCCCACTCAGCATCACTCCGGGCAGTGGGTGGACACAGAGCAGACCTTCTGTAGCACATTTTCAGGGTACACTGTCCGTGTTGATTCCCTGCACTGTACAGTAACAAGATCTTTTAAAATCTTGAGAAAAAAATAAAAATAAAAAAATAAAATCTTCCTTGAGATATCATGGCACATTCCTATGCAATTTTAAAAAATACTATGTAACTGTTAGTTAAATAGATCCAACTGTTAGAGGCTCTGTGCTGGCAGACGTCTGGCTCGGACTACACCATCGCAGTCCAGCTCAAAAATCTCTCTTACTCCCATGAGAGAACCTCCTGTCCCCACAACTCTACCCCGGTGACCAGCCTGGGTGAAGGCGAGGAGAACAGAGAAATCACAATGGCTTCTGATTCTATTCGGGTATGCAAGCAGAATCTCTCTGCTCTCCTTTTTGAAAATAAAAGCCTCATAATAGGATGGGTTCCCCAGGTAGCCAGAGAGTAGAGGTCATCTTGAGGAAAATGACACCAATGATCTAAAAAGGACATCTACTTTATGAGATTTCAGGCAAGATGCCAAAGATCACATTTAATGAGGTCTGATTCTTTTTCTCCACAAATAACAGAGGCTATCAATGAGATGGTCAGGAAAGCAAAGGGGCATTTTGCAAAGCCTATGTTCAATTATTGCTTTGTAATATTTTTCTAAAATTGAAAAATGCCTCGCAAGTATATGATCTCATGTAAATAGTCCTTGCAGAAGCTTAACATATGTTTGCAATGACCCAA